TTTTCAAAAGTTTAAATTGTTCGATTATTGTACAAGCAATCAGAAGAAGCTTGTATAAATGTTGAATAGTAAACCCTTCACTAAGGTCACCATCAAAGTTGAACACCAACCGAGACTTCGTTCCGTTTCCCGCTGATAGTTACAGTCAACCAGTGAACAGCGTATATTTGGGTAAGTGCTATGCCGGCACTTGATTAAAAGCTACTTCAGGAATATAAGAACATCCTGGGAAACACAACAGTAAATGTCCACTTAAACATACGAAGTAGTATTATTACATCCATAGGTAATTTTCAGTCCATACGTAGCCAGGAACCAGAATAATGGGGAATTAATCCATATAAAATGACAGTTGGGGCATGCAAGGAGCTGGGAATTATCATCACGCGAGACAGCGAGATTTCAAATGCAACCATCGGCGTGTGTTCATTATTTCTTAAATCATCTAAGGAACTGAGGCCTTCAGATGGTTGACGAATTTTAGATCTCACTCTCTTAACGGTACTTATACGTTTGACAGACTTAACCATTATAGAAACAAGAATTCTCACGGTTTCCGAAAAATGTCTTGAGGATATAGAAAGGTTTTTGCATTATCGAAGTATCAAAAACTACGATAAACAGCTACATATTGCAAAATAAAAAGTCAGACTTTCCCTTAATAGCACAACCTGGGGATAAAATCCTTAGTTCCACGTGGTTAGAAAGGGTATCAGCAGATTCCGGGATGAAGATTCCACAAGTGAATACTATGTATGCTTCCAGGTGACACAATACAATCCTTGTTAAGGATGGACATGTGGATAGTGTAAGGAACGCGGCTAATTTCCAAGAGAATAAGGAAAGATGATTCACTCAGAAACATTACACCTGTAGCCCAACTGTTCGAACTTTATCTGTGTCTGTTAATTACTATAACGGTAATGAGCTCGAATGATACGGTAATACGCCCGTTTATCCGTTGAACATTCCGATTCACTGAGCCACACAAATATCAGAAGACAAAGCCTGGCTTGTGGCTGCAAGATATTGTGTTATACATCTATAAGGGAAAAACACATTTATGTGTTTAATTTATCACAATGCAGTTGGTTCACAACAGTGGGAATGGACTGTTCTTACTCCCTGGAAATGTCGATTCTGATCGGTTGGTGATTCGACAAAGACCAAGGTGAGACAAAATACGATGAATTGATCACACACTAAATCACAATATGCGTGAGAAATGATAGATCCACATAGTAACTCCACGAAAAGACAAATCACACTATTCGTGAGTGATGATCATATACCATTTTATGCTAGGTCCTACCACTTATATCCTGCCCACGACAACCTCGTCTTTCACCCAACTAATAAACGGATGATATAACCATTTTGTCTGTTGTATCATGTATTTAACAAAAAGGAGTTTCGGCAGTTTATATGAACGCAATTCAGTTAGCACCTGCTGGCTACTTCAATCAACCAGCTGTCCACGATCTGTCTTGTTTGGACTCCAATAATACAGTTGAAGATATATATATTATTATTAAGATGTTCTAACCGAAGTCAACCTCATAGAAGAAATCCCTTGTATACCTACAAAATAGTAAGTGGACTAAAGTGTTTTGTAA